TTATTCTATGGAAAAATAAAATGTCAATATACACAAATACATCTTAAAGTCAACTTTACAAATACTCAACAGATGTAGGACTAGTATATCCAAATAAAACAATGAAATATCACACAAAAAGATAGTGTATATAAAGTAATAAATAAAGTTTAAATAAAATAATGTGTGAATACTAGCCTATATAGATTAACATAATTATCTTTTTCGTTTTGTTGGTTCACGTGAAATTTGTTTACGTAAAACTTGTCTGTTAGATGATGTTGGTACAGTTTTTCGAATAGATGTTTCGTCTTCAGATGCTGAAGATTCAGAAGATGATGAACTCGATTTGGTATTATTATTTCCCGTTGCATCTAGTAATACTTGATTGCCTATTGATGTTAATCGTAGAACATTGCTGTTTACAGTTGTAGTCACTGGTGATGGTGCCACAGGTGAAATTGAATCTAAAACATGATATAATTGCTGTAACTAATCATAGTAAAATATTTTAACTGTATTTATTAAGGAATAAGTTTTTATTCCATTTTACAATATGGCTAAGAAAAATAGAAATTATTAAAACGTAAGTAAGAACAACTTTACGACTCGAATCAAATATCGAAGACTAAGTACCTATAATGCAGAATCTTCGAGAGCAATGTAAACTAAAAACTTATTTAAACACTCTTGATCTAAATTTCTATTAGATTCATATTGATGTATTTATTTCCGTTAACATTTTATGTACTCTATATCTTGTCAATTCTAACAGTCACAATGCATCAATAATACATTTTTGCTCTTTTAATTGATTGTAAACTTATAGCCAGTGTGTTTACTTCTGTTCTTTCTATTCAACTCCCATTGACAAAGTCTCTAGTAAGTCATTGTTACAAATTCGCGTGAATTTTTCATTTTCAAAACTCATTGATAGTTATCTATGAGAATTCTATCGGAAGTTGTCAGGATTCTTTCAGAAAGAGTCGATTATGATTGCTTTATGATCATATGATGGTCGTGTTGATCACGGTGCGTGATACAAAACCTGGGATGAGTACAAATGTTTAATCATCGTATACTTTAACATTCTTTTTCGATTCTGTTCGACAAAAAGTTCAAATCAATCATAGTTTAATATAGTGTTAGATGTCCTATTATAGAAATTAGAAACATTACATACTTAATGATGATGTTGGATTTTGTGGATTTATTGTTGATGACATCGAATCATTAGATGGTGATGAAATAACTGTTGAACCAGTCACTAGTGGAACTGGTGCCATTGGTTTTTTTTTTGGTGGTAAATAGTTATATTCAAATCGATATCTAAATTCAAAGTAAACTCAGTTATCCATAACAGAACACAAACTTCATTATTTACAATCATATATTTTAACTTTTATAAGTTGAAATCGTTTATCCTTGGATTGTAGTAAGACATCACTTTATCCTTTAGCTGAAGGCTTAACAACAGAAAATGATTCGCAAAAACTGAATTAAATAACTTATGACTATGTGTTACGATTTGATTGAAATCTAAGGAGAATCTATTTTCGTATCAGTAAAATCTCATAATCTAATCTTTCTGTACAAACTGGATGAACTATTTCAGTTTAGGTGATTGATACCGAACTATCATAAAGATATTCATGATTTTAATCACTTCATGTTAGATCTCCAACTCATATGAAAAGTAGTTGGTGTAGAATGACATTGAAACGAGTTCAAGCGGAAAGCTTTTACAATATTCTTTATTCTTTCCATCACTTGCTCTGCTCGAGTATGGGAAGAAACACACATTAATTTTTATTGTAGCTCTAATCATGATGTTAACAAACTCATTTATTTCATTATTGTTCTGATTTTCTTTGAAGTTTTTTATGAATCTTTCTACAGACGTTCATTGATCTAACCAAAAATAATGAACTCAAGTACGACTTTACCAGCTAACCAATAATAGATATGAAAAACTTGATTAACATACATGTTATAAGGTTCATTGTTCAACAACAGCTTGATTTCGTTTGAACATTGATTTCGATTAGGCAACCAAATTTTGTTAAATGTGGAAATATATAAAGAATATTGTACATCTATAATATCTAACAATTTAGAAAAAGCTAAAATTGTATTATCAGTATTTGTTGAAGGTAATGCTTTCACATAACAATTGATTGTTCGTGCATCGGCAGTCATTATCCCATTTTTGTATATATGTAAAAGTTTCATTTCTGATAAAAATGTTGTTGCATGATCAAAATAGTGAAGATGTTTTTTTAATTGACTTTCTGTGTGAATCTAAATTGAAGAATGATTTGTGATCATCGAAACAATAAAAAATTTATCTGTCTTACTGAACTTCGAGTAAAAACTATTGAATTAATCAGCATCAAATTTTTACAGTATATTTTAAATTCTCGATTATTGTTGATCGTTGGTATAGGTGGTGTTGAATGTTGTTGTTGTTGTTGTTGTTGTTGTTGTTGTTGTTGATGATGCTCTTGTGCCATGGGCACTGACGAAATACTAAGTGATGATATTGATGTTGCTAATGGAGCTTCAGGTATATAACGAATAGGTGATTTTTCAGATGAACTTATTGATGTTAAATTTATATATTTTAACATCATAATTGATGTCGCTTTATGAGAACTATGTACGATTTGTTCTGAAAAGATCAAATATAGATAATAAAGTTTTTTTTTATTGTTAAGAAAAAGTAATCGCATAATACCGTTAATAAATATTTCATTTGGCACATGTTTCTCGTCGACGAATTGTTTTACTTTTTTGTATAAACCAATTGTCATTTTATCATATGTATTAAATGGTGTTGGTTGTTGCTATAGAATACAGATAATTAATGTTTTCTGTACGACTATCTCCATTGGATGATGTACATGAATTATAAGATAATTTAAAAAGAAAAGGAAAAATCTATAAAAGTCTAGCAGAGATAATGTCTTCTCGACATTAATAGAAATATTAGAAACTACTAAATATCATTCATAAGCTTTGAAGATCAGAAAAGAACACTAACGATCCCTATTAATTACGAATATTTCCTGTTATATCAGAAACTTTAAGACAGAAGCAGAGTATGTCGATGGTAATCACATAAAAATCAGTAAAATCGATTACAAAGTGTCAGAGATAGATACAAACACATGAAAAGATATTCATTCTCAAACTCTCTCCGAAGCTATAGCACTCTTTAGTTTGTATTTGATAATGTTGATAGTCAAAATGGGCCAGGGAATAGAACTAATAAGAAAAGACCTAATCAATTCTCATTCTAGAATCGACATAAATCTGAAGTATTTTGTAATTTACGTACATTGTGAACTAATGATTTGTCAATCGTCTGATAAAGAATTACTTACTTGTATAAATTCATATGCTAATTGATAAGCTAATTGTATTATTTGTAGATAAGCACACATTCTTAATGAATACTCTCGTGATTTTCGAAATCTTACACTTAACCACGCGTCATGACGTTCAAAACGTAATGCTATAATAAATACAATTCATATTATATTAACAAATATTTGATAAGTATTGATAAACTTACACCGTGTGGTCAGTTCATCAGTAAATTGCTTTTGGAGATGGCGTGCGTCATCATCAAACATAAATATCTTCCCATTGATCATATGGACAAACAACAGGAGAAAGTTTATACGAATTGAATCTTGCGGAAGTGTTTGTAATCGGTTTGCTACTAATGTTTCTGTAGACTGAAGTGAGACGAACTCAAATCGTTCCACCATAGGATCAGCTATCATTGTATTACTCAATTTTTTCCGAATAATTTCAATTAAAATTGACTAAAAAAGAAAGAATTCAAATACCAACATGAAGTAAGTTTATGTAAAATAGCACTTAATTTTAACACTCATTTAAAATACAGCGTTACTATAAAGAAAACATTTATTTTAAGATATAGATATACGTTGTTTACTAGTTAAGACGAGGAAAAAAAATCAATTGAATAAAAGTAAAAGAAATTATTTATGCATTTTTACAGAGAGAAAAGTCATATTAACACTCATTTCGTTTAAGAAATGTTTTCTTTATATTAACTCTGTATGTAGAAAATAAATTTAAATATCTAATTTTATAAATGTATCAACATACTCCATTTGAACCACCAATAATTGACAGACGTGGTTTAATTAAGATTGTTAAACGATCAGCAGTTGCTTTGATGTATTTGTCAGGACAACTAAATACAGTTTGGACAAATGATTTACAATTTATCCTACAAATATTCTTCCAAAGATAAGAAATACAATTAAATAATTTTTTACTGACATGGAATTATTGAATTTGTCTTTGGATGGAAAAACATTGGTTTTTTGACTTTCGTCATCAAATTCATCAAAAAGCCCGAGAACATTTCCATTTTTTGCTAAAGCTGTAATGCATCCAGGTCCAGTAAACTAAAAACGATTGTATAAAATATAGATATGCACAAGTTCTACTCATAATTGAGCACATATATTTATCTAATATAAAACTTATAGAGCGACTAGTAGTTTTCGTTATGTTAATACATTATAATTAACTAATTATCTAGCTTCTAAATAGTTATAAAAACTTGATTTTGAACTAACTTACATTCATGTATAAGCATGGCACTTTATCGTTAAAGTATGAAAGTTAAAGTAATGATATACGGATCAGAGACCAGCGGTATGCAGTGTCAGTACCGTACCGTACCGTACCATACCGTACCGTCTCGTCTCGGGACGGTACAGTATGCGGTACGAGAGAACTATACCGCACACCCGCGTCTCTATTAAAAGAAGCCTTCTAGCGATGATTTTCGAAAACATTTATTAAATTTTTTTCAGTCGCGTTATGCTAAAACGAATTTAGCAAAGCTAACCCTGTCTCAATCTCTTATCCGCAGCTATTTGAATTTCTTATCATTTTGTCGAAAATGACCTACACTCATTTGGATCCTAGGAAATCAGATAAAGATCTTTGAGAACCATCGTCGTTACTATATATTAACGACCAGTTGATGTCAACAACTGCTGTAGGAGAACGATTTTTATCGTTTGTTTTTTGTTTTTCTCGTAAATATTATTGTTAAATGAAACGTGCAATCGTCAAACGACTCAAAACTTTTTAGAGTGTAATGAAACTTAATATATTATTCTCGAAAATCAAAATTATGAAAACTCATGCAATTATTTGTTAATAGTGATTTAGTTTTCTGTCAAGGTCGAATATCCATGGTATTTCTGAGAAAAATATTAAATTTTGCTTCACATAATACCTATGCTTTATAACGAGTTCGTACATTTCATACAGCACTACGTTTCTTAACAAACGTAACTGTGAATCATCTGATCGAAAAACTGTCTCATACTACTTTCATCTGAGACCTCATCATCTTCTAAAAATTTGAGTGCTGTACATAACCATCCGAAAACTGTTTGATTCCTTAGTTCTTATTTCTGAGAGAAAAAAGATCGATTAGTTCAAAAGATATATAAAGATGTGCAACCATTTACTATGACGATGGTCTCGGTCAGATATGGGCAAGTCAACGACTTTTCGATCCAAGTCCAGTAAAAACCAATAACTGAAAATTTCGAACAGATCAAGTCAAGTCACAAGTCATTTGACTTGACTTAATTTAACTTGATTCAAGTCGAAAAAGGACTTAACTTGCCACCTTTAGAGCCAATTTACCCTACAAGTTTATTTTATTTTTCTTAATTTAAAACTTTTAATAATTGTACACCCGAAATGAATACTAAAGTGTATGAAACACTTCTATATATTTATATAGTTTTGCACTTAACTTGTCCATGCTTTGTTTCTGTAAAATTGCGCAACGTTGTGTATCAATTAATAAGTTCATGCATTCTTGGAATTCCTTTTTTCGTATGCTCATATAATTCTTTATATACTTTGTTGTCAACATCCATCGAAAAAGTAATCTATATATGACCCGATAACTCAATAAAACGGATCGTAATATCTTTGAAGAAAACTTAAAAATTATTTCTGGCGGTACGGTATTTCGTGAAACGGTATACTTCAGACTCTAGGCGGTAACAGTACGGTACGGTATCGAAAAACTATCAGGTGGTACGGTGTGGTACGGTACGGTGTGGTACGGTACGGTACGGTACGGTATGATACGAGTGAAAGCGGTACACGGGACGGAACGGTATGAAATTTTTGCAATACCGCCAGTCTCTAATAGCAACTAAATATTTGAATAGGTATGCCAATCTTCAAATAGTATTGCAGAATTAAATAATTGCTCTTCAGACATAGCATATTAATCAACTAACAAGGATTTAAATAGCAACCGAATTTAATTAAATAGATCTTCAAATCTTTAAATACTGTTAGAGATCTAGTTGGCAATTAATAAAACATATTCATTAGTATATCTCATCTAAATACCTCGCCATCCATGTATTCGAACACTATATATATTGACGAGCAAGATACAAAAGAAAAACGATATAACAAAAACAATAACTACAGTACAAAACTCAATTACTAATCAAACAATACCCTCAGAACATTAGATATATTACTTCTCAAACGTTTGAAAAACCACAGCAATATTTCTTTCAAGGTAAAAAGAACTTTTTGATCATTAAACTTCTACAATCAATCAATAATCTCATCACTAAACAAAATATCTCATGCAAATCTTTTTTTCTTCAAAAAGATAAGAGAAAATAATATTGTCCCAATGTCCCGAGCTTCGAAAAAAATCAAACAACTAATACACAGAAAAAAAAATAATTATATATTACTTCATTCAGAACCTTTTCACAAATATGTTCATCACTTTCATTTGAATACTTTTTTGATGATTTTTTTGATCGATTTTTTGTTAAAATTTTAATTGATGTATTATCATTTTGGGAGTTGTATTCTGTTTCTAATTCATCAATATCGTTACAACAATTCGAAATCTCTAAAAATGTATCGGATTTACTAAAACCTAGTCACATAAAAATTAAACAGATTATTATAAAGTAATTAGCTAAAATAAATATACCAGAACAAGTAGTAATTAATGTATATGATGCAAGACCTTTTTCCATAAAATGACAATTATCAAGTAAAATTGTGGATTTGTTCGAAAAATAAGCTAAAGATGATGTTGTTACTAATGCAATGAGTCGAGAATCTTGTAACATAAATTTTGCCTGTGTACTAAATATATTTTTAATATCTTCACCATAAATATCTACTAGATTGTATTCGATCATATTAGCATTATCAAAGTTTTTCCAAAATATATTTTCTGGTGTGAGATTATTTGCCATCTGAAATGAATAGAAAAATATTGAGCTAGTTCATTATTGTATTTATTTTACTAATTCTAATTAAAAATTAAATTTTCTTTATTTTAAATTTAAATGGCCGCTTATAGTGAGCGACACCAATCAGATTACTACTTGATTGTTAACGACAAGTATACTTGTCAAAGCAGATGGCAGGAGAGGATGAGCTAAGTGACAATTTTTTCAAAAAAAACTTAATAGTGAAGCGGTTAATATGTTCTTTAATTTTAGATGTCGTAACTTTTTACTTTATTGTTTGCATGCACGATAATTTTCTGATAGAAAGCTGTTTGTTAATCTAAAATGCTATTTTTACACTTGAAAATTATTGAGTTATCAGGAGTATCTGTGCTTAAGTGTATTTGGTAGTAGATGAGAAAGAATGTAGATATTTAAGTGAATATCAGTGAGTATGACTTTCATAATCACGTGTACATTGCTCACCTACAACTACAAATATTCGCCACTGAAAGTCCACCTAGAGTTGATGAAGAATCAACACATTATCTCGAATCTCGTGCAATATAATTAACTCTGTTCAATAACAAATGTCAATACTGTTCACGTTTCCACAAGGTTCGCATTACATACATTTTATCTTACCATCAATTAAAATATATTATAAACTTGATACATTATTAATCAACATATCAACAACAAATAGTAATGAACAACGTTTGATTGTTATTGCTGCTGAGCATATCAAGCAAAAACGTCATTTTCTAAGTCTTACCATTGATGAATTATCAAAATTATTATATTTTTTAAAGCTGATCAAACGTAACCATGTTCATCATCACACAAGATGTGCATTCCACAATCATCAATGCTAAAACTCCCTCGATGATCATGTTCATCATCACACAGGATGTGCATTCCACAATCATCCATGGCTTGACGTCGTCGATGATCATGTTCACCAAGAGAGGGTGTGGGTGTCAGTAAGTGTGGGTGGCTGTGGGTGTCGGTGTGAGTATGGGTGTGAGTCTGGGTCTGGATCTGGGTGTCTGTTTTTGATCAATAAAAAACACATCCACATCCATACCTACGCGCATATTTACACTCACACCGGCACCTATACCTACACGCAGCAATAGGAGATCCTTTTGCATTTCGAAACCAATTACCTTTGACCAGTATTTTTTTGTATACGAGGGAATCAATGAGTTTTAATCGACATTCATCATCAAATAAATAGGATGGTATCATTCGAAACATGTCGGTTGATGTACCAAGAACAAACTGACGCCGGATAATAATTGATTTCCACATAGTGGAAGATTTAGGGTTAAGAACAAGATTGTTGACTTCTAAAAATATATAAGTTTTACTTATTCAAAAACAAACAAAAAATGAAGAACTTTGTTTATCATATATCTATCACTGATTTTCATCTCCTCTGATAAAAATGTGAAACTAGTACCACAAAAGAAAAGTAAAGATATTCTGATCAACAATTTACGCTTTACACCTAACTAATATAATGTTACGATTTTATTTTATCATATCAATAAGTGTCTGATATTAGGCATTATTCATTAAAGAAAATCCAAAGTTATATAGCTTAGCAAATTTATACACTAATATGAATTCAACGTAAGTCCCTATCTCAATATTTATACGATCAACAAAATATTGTAATCTGAAACAAATAAGCTAAAAGCTGAGTTACTCGATTCAAACTTTTCATGTTTTAGTTGCTTAATTATTGCTACATAGATTAATATATTGGATGTCACATAATTATGTTGCACTTTTTTATATTACAAAATGTTCAGTTGAGAAACTTCATCGATTAGCATCTTGAATCAAATAATTTAATTTCGCAGAAATAACTGCATTCTGTTATGTAAATTAAATATCTTTGATAATTGAAAATGATATTTTGATATACATTAGTACAGTTGCAACCGAATGAAATAAATGGTTCTTTTTCTTTATCTAATTTTCTCAATATTTTCTGTATTATTTCCACTTGAAATATGACGCCAAAGATTTTACTTTCTGATGACCATTTTTGTGATTTTGAACGTGCCGAACGTGGACGACCTCGTTCTCTATTGATCGAAGAAGTTTGATTATCCAAGACTAAAAGAATCAAGCGTAGAGTAAAAGTAATTTACTATGCACATCTATCTCAAAACTATATCTTAAAATGAAATATATTACAATAGTTAATAGTAGGATTGGGCATTACAAATTAATACTTGTTTACGTGAATGTTATAATAGATCATAATTCGTCAAGAGGAACTGTTGATCTCACATGAAAAGAATGCAACGTAAGACAATACTATTGCATACTATTAACACTAAATACGTATGATTGTTAACAGACATGTGTGAAAGTACAGTTTTCTATGTGAATTGAATTTGCTTGGACTAGAGTTTCATTCGATTCAATAAAACTTACTACTCAATATTCGAATTAATTCGAGTCGGTTCAAACTTAAATAACTACTCTGACATATACAGTAAATGATGATACCAATGATAATTGAATGCTTCAAATGGCTCAATTAAATTTCATTCGATCTAATAACAAATAATATTCATCCGGATAATAAATTGAATTTAACTACATGATTTTCGTATTCATTTCGATTCCGTTTATGTTAGATACGACTAAATCATTTTTGTAATATTAATATAAATAAAAATTGTATCTTTGATAATCTACTCATTTGAATAACAGCATAGATTAAGAGTAAGGATGCAGGTGATTTATAAATATAAGTTTTTACACTTGCCTGCTGAAGGTATTTCAACACCACTTGGAAGATCTGTTAATATATTATGATATGAAAATGTTGGTTCAATAGTTGAAGAACATTCATCTGTAAAATAATTGAATATAGAAATGATTATGAAATAAATTTTTAAATCAGACAGTGAAAAACTATGATAATAAACTCAAATCATAAACGTTGCTAGCTGACAAAATCTAGCTCAATGAAGATAGTTAGTATACAAGTATAGAAAATAATATTCTCATAAAGAAAAGCTTACAGCATTGTCGAATGAAGGATCAATAGTCTCCAAAAACTGTTTCTTCTCAAAAAGACATGTTTCAACTTTGAAAATGAGAAACTCTAGTAAGCTATTATAAGAAAATATATTTAGCGCAGTTCACAATTGCATCATAAAGCAATAATTGTTGTGCCCTTCCTTTTCTTTACCTGTTACCATACTTATATCTAATTGTTGAATATTATCAGCAGGTTCAAGTTCACGAAGAAGTACAGCATCATCGAACACTTAAAAAAACAGAAAATATGAAAGAAAATAATAAGATCTAATAAAAAAAGTTCAATGCGTTGTATCATATTGAATAAACGTGTTGATATAGTAAAAAACAATAATTGAAATAAATTTACCACATTGATGTTCAATGTTATTTAGATTCTTCATGATTTTTTCCATAACATCAGTCACGATATCTAAATATATTATATTAATCGAGTAAGTTCAATTGATAAAAAGATTAACCTGAAGTTGATGAACCATCGCTTATTATTGATGAGTTTGTTTCTATGTGCACAGGAGATGGATAAGAAGAAGTTCGATGATCAACAACACCTATATGATGACAGAGTTTTAGGCAAATATAAATGTTTTGTTCAAAATACAGAAATGAATAGTATATAGAATAAATTGCTTCATCATTAGCAAATTTTATTTCTAGAATCAAAAATATCTGGTAATCGCAGTTTATTTCTTCAAATCCTTATACGAACTTCTATCATATTGTACATGAACAAATAGCTTCGAATAAGATATTCACTTACGTTGTTTTGGAGATGAAATCGATTTTATTAATAACTCAGAACAATCCATTTGACTATGTTCAATTTCATCAATCCAACTATTGCTACTTGAATCTAAAATAAATATAGCTATTCAATACTTGCAATGATTTTTTTAGGGTACCATAATAAATGGTATTTATGTGTAAATTTATGATTCTACATGACAAAAAGTTTATGCTGCTACGCTATATTTCTTTCTTATCATAGTTATTTTAAATATTCATTCTTTAATTGATCTAAATGATAAATTATACAAAGACTTTAACTGAATGAATTGAGTTACTATTTGATGAGAGACTCAATCAAAAAAAATAGAACAATAGTATCTTTTGCATCATTGAGAAAAAGCGAAGAAATTCGAAATTTAACGTTGTTAAATACATAGTTATTAAGATTTGGGAGTTAATTAATTAAATTATTCTCTGACCTTTCAATGATAATTCATATGTAATCCCACAATGAGAAGACGAGGTTGTTTCATTTGGTGGTAATAATGGCATACTGGAATCAGTACTTTTGCTTAAGTCTAAATCAGATGAAGTATCTTGTTCTTTTCCTGTTTGATTATTGGCAGCAGCAATACCACATGGTTGATAATTCATTTCAATAACATCTTGATCACAAGTTTGAACTTGTGTATGCAACATTGCTTTTACCTTATATTCTGTATAAAATTGTTTTGTGGAACTCACGTATATTTTCGAAGAAAATCGTGAGTGTAAGT